CTAGTCTAGTCTAGTCTAGTCTTCATTGTCATTGTACAAAATAAATACAATGAAATTGGTTTTAGTCTCACTGGTCCAATCACATGACAACAAATACAAACAACATATATAGTATAAGGAATAATCCCAATGCAAGTAATTAGGGGAATAGAAAAAGAAAGAAAAAGATACGTTTCCACGTTTGTGTGTGGAGTGATTGTGGTTGTGTTTAAGAGCCTGACAGCCCAAGGATAGAAACTATCTTTAAACCTATTCGTTCGATTGACTATGCTTTGATGTCTTCTGCCCAATGGTAGAAGCGCGAAGAGACACTGACCAGGGTGTGAATCATTTCTGAGTATCTTCCTTACTCCTCTAAAGCAGCGAGACCTGGTGATGTCATCCAGTGGTGTTAGAGGGCAACCAGTGGTTACCTGTGCCAAATTTATCACTCTCTGTAGTGCCTTCCTGTCCATAGCAGTTAAACCAGTGTACCATACTGTCATGCAGTATGTGAGGACATTTTCTATCATGTGTAGAAATAGGTTTTCTTCTTCATAACCCCATGAAAAGAGCAGGAATAGGACATTCACTGATTTGGGGCAGCTATTTGGGAGCAAGGGAGGAGGATCCAGAGGACTGTAAAATAAATAAATAAGTAAAAGGCTAAGAGGTTTTTTCAGTCTGATTTATAGCAGGATGGTTGTGAGGATACAAGGAAAAGTAAGGGAGTTACACTTGATTTGGTTGCTTGGGAGGAAAGCTGGGGTGGAAATGCAGCACAAAAGTATGTGATGTATATCTCCCCTTTGTCCACCAAGATAGCAGAAGGAATGGCCTTCCTGGAGAAGAAAAACTACATCCATCGTGACCTGCGGGCTGCCAATATCCTGGTGTCAGAAAGCCTCAGCTGCAAGGTTGCAGATTTTGGGTTGGCCCGCCTTATGAAGGATGACGAATACACTGCTCAAGAGGGTGGGTCTCTTTTGCCTCTTTGGCCTTGCCAAGCAAGCAAAGCTTCTTCCTTCTTTTGGGGAGTGGGGGGTGGAGGACTGCAGAGGGAGTGTCAAAGGATTCAAATTGGTAGCTTCAAACACCCAATCCATTTTTACCTGTGGGGTGCATTGCATGTCAAAAGGAGGAGGGCTTTAATGGTGCAGTTTTGGTGATGGTGCACACTTTCTCAATCTTTTGTTAACTCCCTTAGAAACCCTCCTGCTAAGACTTCATTCTTCTGAACAGACAGATGAGGGTCCACGAGTTATTCTGAAGGTGGAATTGGGCTGAAGTTGGGAGGGAAGGAGTTAGGATCTTATGCACAGGTACTAGGCACACTGATTCCAAAAGGGTTTCTCAACCTTAGCCACTGTAAACTGGGTGGACCTCAACTCCCAAAATTCTGGAGTTAAAGTCCACACAGCTTAAAGAGGCCAAGGATGAGAAACACTGGACCACAGTTGACCCTTAGGATGCAGGTGTGTGCTGCTTGCCCAAGCTTGGCCAAAGAGTCAGAATCCTTTCTCCTGATAGGAAAACTGCCGCACTGTTTTAGAGCTGCAGCTGGCTGGTTTTGAGTTAGTGCCCCAGCCTGTTTCCTGAGAAAGTTGTAGCCCACTGGCTTTGCTTTGTGCATCAGCCAGGAAAGGTAGCAAGAGAAAGCTCCCTGCAACCCCGAGATAATGAGATCTGTGATTCCGAGTGCGCTCTCTAAAGAGATCCCTGTGAGCAAATTAAGTCTTGACATCAGCAACTTTTAAGAGGTGCAGACTTCAATTCTTAGAATTTTAAAAGTATTTTAAAGGCTGTAGTGATTCTGTGGGGTTCTGGGGCATGTTATTTATTTAATTTGTATCCCGCCTTTATTATTTTTACAAATAATTCAAAGCAGTGCACATATCCATTATACCTTCCGTTTCCTATTTTCCCCATAACAACCCTATTGGGTGAGGTGGGTGGCTGAGAGAGAGAGAGTAGACCTGGCCCAAAGTCAGATATATAAAGGATGACTCAAGGTCCAGGAATGGGAAAATTATCTCTAGTGTGTTGATCATCAACAAAACTCTGATTTTATAGATGAGGAACATTTTTGATGATGTGCACATCAAGGACTCATGGCATAAAATGCTGGCATTCCACAGTGTGCAGCTCCTTCTTGTGGCCGATGCAATGAAATTTACCAGTTTTCCTCCTGGGGAAAAATAGTATTTCTTTTCCAGCCTTCCAACTCTCCTGATTGGCTGGAACTCAGTTCCTGAATTCGCAAGCCATAGAGCTAAGGGAATTCTGGGGATCGAAGTCCAGAGGGAAACTGGTGGGTCTACTCTGCCAAGACATTATTCTTACTCTCTTAAGATTTCTTCCTTCAGGAGCAAAGTTCCCAATTAAATGGACAGCCCCAGAGGCCATCAATTATGGAACATTCACCATTAAATCAGATGTCTGGTCATTTGGGATTCTAATGACTGAAATCATCACTTATGGTCGGATCCCTTACCCAGGTCAGTAAGTAGTGATCTATTTCCATTTGTAATCTATACAAAATAAGTTTGCCTTTGTCTAAGGCAGGGTTTCTTGTCTTAGACAAGATTTGGGGATTTCTTAATCACGTTTCCATCATTAGGGATTTCTTCAGCTTTCCAGTTTTGCGCAAATACACTTCTAGCTGCAGTTATTACATGAATATACATTTTCTTTACTATATTTTCCCTGGTAAGATGCCCAACAAAAACAATTCAGGTTTTAAGTGAATACGTTACTGCGTCACCTTCTCCAACCACAGAATATATTAGAATGTACAGAAATGAGTAGATTAACACTAGCAATTAAAGGAAAGGAAGAATCTGATTATTATAATATATGGGGGTTATTTTATCATTGGTTAGAAAATGAATATGGATAAAAAGTATAAAATTAAATAAATTAGGAAGAGAAATGTTATAACAGAAGATACTTTTAAGTTGTAATGTTAAAATAAGAATAGATGTATATATAGAATTTGGTGGTAAGCTATAACTATTATGACACAAAAATTGTACTCAAGACAACACACTGATTAATGAATGATGAAATGTTTGTTTTAAAGGGAAAAAAAACTTTTACAAAAAAAATATATGGGGATTTCAACTCACAGAATTCTCTACCCAGCCATGGTTGCTGGGCAATTCTGCAAGTTGAAGTCAACGCATCTTAGTTGCTGAGTTGAGAAACTCTGCTATAAGGTAGGAATTCTGGGGAAAGCACCACCACACCTTTTTGGGGATGCTTTATGATGCGTTGGCTTTGTGGGGGTTAGAGTTAGGGCCTCATCTGGACCTCATCCCCATTCTCATTTGCTGCCTCTCTTGTGACTCCAGGAATGAGCAACCCAGAAGTCATCCAAAATCTGGAACGAGGCTATCGGATGCCACAACCGGACAACTGCCCAGAAGAGCTGTACAAATTGATGTTGCAGTGTTGGAGGGATAACCCAGAGCAACGCCCCACTTTTGAGTTCCTGAAAGGGGTCATGGAGGATTTCTTCACTGCCACGGAAGTACAATATGAGCAGCAGGTGTGAAGATGCTTCAACCCAAGATCCGTGGGACACTCTTCTCACAACTAGCAGAAAAGACACTGTTGAAAACTTTGCCTTGCATCCAAGATGGTGGGGAGGGGGGTATGGTGGAAAAGAAGGGCTTTATTGGGACCCCAATAACTTCCTGAGAAGTTCATGGCTCATCTCTGGAAAACTTCCCCCTTTTTTCAAAAGGAAAAGAAAACCAACATTCAAAGGTACCCAAAGGCACTGAGACGGAGGGTTCTCACACCAGCTCAGCTGGCGGGAAGCAAGCCTTTTTTTAATTATTACTTTTTGCTTCAGCTGCTCTGTAGGAGGCACATGCACCTGGTATAAGTGGTAGTCCTTGACTTATGACCATGCCGAACCTGGCAAGGGAGGTTGTAAGTTGTGAGAGTCATAAAGCAAATCACTCCTGTGACCAGACCTGTTTTAATGGCCATTTTGCAGCAGCCATAAAGCAAAAACTTCATGTGGTAATTAAGCAATTCTATTTTTGCTAGTTTTTCCCCCCAGAAATTTAAAATGAATGCTGGTTTTCAGCAACAACCATTGTAAATGGCAATCATGTGATTGTGGGGGAGAGGCAACATCAGAACTTCAAATCTACCAGTAAGTCATAAGTAGTTTTTCAGGGGCAGGTTGTAATTTTGAGCGGTGGCTAAGTGACCTGTTGTAAGTTGAGGACTACCTCTACAAATAAAGAACCACTGTCTAGAAAGCTGTTTCTTAAGGCAAAGGTCCTCTGACTTAAGGCATTGGATTTCCTGGGATTGTTGTGCAACCAGGCCTGGAGGATGAACAAAGGCAATAAAAAGTGGCTCCAGGATGTGGTCAAAAAAGTTAAGATGGCCGTCACAATAGTGGTCGAAGCTCCACCTTTTTTTATTTCTGTGGTGACCCTCATGAAGAAGAGCTTTGCTTGCACGGTTGTGGCTGCCATTTTGACTTTTTTGACCACACATAGGACCTGACAAGGAGGAGGAAGGTGGAGGAGGAAGGAGGAAAGGTAATTTACAGGTTACTCTAAGTGAGTGCATTTTTAAATCATTGTTTCTTGAACAAGTCACAATAATTTTGGGTTCACATGTGACCTTAAATCGTGTCTTCCAAAATCACAGCAGTTACGAAATTATATAATTTGATCTTTTCTATATATGCACACATGCTTAATACATATAACTTATACTATGGAAAAAATAAAATAAAAACTTAAAAAAAATATGATGATTGGTTTTGGTTTAGTTTAAAATTTCTAATGAGTTCCCCCCCCCCCAAAAAAACAGAACGTGAATTGAATCAGAATATGTCACAGAAAAAAAAACAGCTCATAGAGCAGAGGAAGCTTTAAAAACGGAGGGCAAATAATCTAAGACGGATGTCGAAACTTGGGAACTTTAAGAATTGTGGACTTCAACTCCCAGAATTCTCTGTGAATAGCTGGCTGGGGAATTCCATACAATATGACTTTGTCAATAATAAGCAGCAGCCTGCAGCAGCTTCCCCTTGAAGCTGTAAACACGTAAAGAATTCCTTAAGTTGGACTCAGCTCCTACTGAATTTCATGGAAACCTCCATGTGGTTTTCTCAGCAACAGCAGAAGTCATTTTGCCAATGTTTCTTTTAAGGAATCGCTTTTGACCTCTGCACTGGAACCTATAAGCCCTGGATCTTTCAGTTATCTCCGTCAAAAACTGATCCAACTCCTGCCTCACTTTAGGAGCAAACCTCATTTCATTCCAAAAAAGACAGTCTAAATCAGGGGTGTCCAAACTTGGGAAGTTTAAGACTTGTGGACTTCAACTCCCAGAATTCTCTGGGAATAGCTGGCTGGGGAATTCTGGAGTTGAAGTCCACAAGTCTTAATGTTCCCAAGTTTGGACACCCCTGATCTAAGATAAAAGTTTCGATAAGTTGAGTTAAAATAAGAGCAGCGAATGAGACTTTTAACTCAACTTAAAAATCTTTTAAGAATCCTTTAAGATTGAATCTTTTAAAAACTGATGCAGGATGTGTGTGAATTTTTCAAAAGGCGCAGAGCAGTTTTAAAAAGCGCAAGATATATTCATTTTCCCCCGCTGTCGGCCCGAAAAACATACATTATTTACTTGGGGGGGGGCGCTTCGCAGGGGATACAACCAGAGGAATGTTTCCCCCTCGTCTGAAAAATGATACCAGCCCATTCTAAAAAAGCACACCCCTGTGTTTCTCCTGCAACAATGGTACAGTCCGAGCAACTACTCGCCGCTCGATCTAACTTGTTGTCGCGAAACGCCCCGCCCTCCCAGCCTCCCCATTGGCCTTCGGCGGGATGCCTCCACTTGTGATAGGCTAGCGGGCGGGGAAAGGCTTCACTGGAGGGCCCGCCCTCTCCTCCCTTGCCCAGGCGGGCTCGGTTGCGTGGCGGGACTCTGGTCCGAACTCAGGCGCCGTCGGGAGGCGGCGGCGGCGGAAAATGGCGCTGACTCAGGGGACCAAGCGGAAAGTCTGCTACTACTACGACGGTGAGTGAGGGGGGCTCTGCGCTTGGTGGGCGGGGCTTAGGAAGGAAGGGGAGGGGTCACGGGGGCGGCGGGAGAAGAAGGGGACTACACCTCCCATCATCCACAGCGCTCTTGGGGGCCGCCGCCGCTGCGTCCCCTCCTCAAACCCTCGGAGCGGCTGGCTGGCTGGCTGGCTGCTTCCAGAGCTGTAATCGTCCCCCTGCGGGCCGTCCTCGGGGTGCCTGCTTTGGACTCCATCCCCCATGCTTCCCAGCCGGGATACATTTGGCGCGGGTGGGGGTGGGGCTGCAGGGGCGAGGAAAGGATGATTTTGGGGGGGTGGGGGGAGATGGGCAGGCGGGTAAAGGTGGGAAGGGACTTCCGCTCTTGACACAACAGCCCTGCGAGGTCAGACAGGCGCTGGCCAGAGGGATAACCCTCCCCCCTCCGCCCCATTAATTGTGCGGGAAGGGCCTGGTTGGGAAAAGCCTCGCCGGATTTGCACTCTCGCCTGGCAGGTGGGAGGAGGGGAAAGGCTGGGAACTGTGTGTGTGTGTGTGTATGTGTGTGTGTATAGTTGCCAAGGTTGAGGACCTCAACCTTGATAACTATACATACATNTTTGTAACTTGACAGCTTTAAGACTTGCACACTTCAATGCCAGAGTTTCTGAGCCAACATTTTGGTTGCAAGAGCGTTGTTAAGTGAGTTTCACCACATTTTACAAGTTGGCCATGCCCACCCAGTCAGATGGCTGGCAAGCCACTCCCACCCCATCAGATGGCTGGTAAGCCACTCCCACAAAGCAGGCCATACCTACAGAAGAGGTTCTAAAAAAATTTGAAACCCACCACTGGGTTTAAGGGTATCCAAATGTCAATCTGAGTTCCCAGCAGTAGCCCTTCTGAAGAACATTGGGAGTATAGGTCGTGTTGTGCTGTTGGTTGCTAAGGTCAACTACAGAAGAGGCAAGTAAATGCTGAGAATCGGAGACGGGAACATTGGTGTCAAAGAAGATAGCCCCGGAGATGGCCTGGGACCTGACGCCAGGCTTTTGGCTCAGCCAAGTACTGGAATGAAGGTTCATCACTTTTAACAATTTGATCTTCAGCATCCCCATCTATCCCCCATAAGGAATTTGCAAACAATTTTTGGGGTAATGCAATTGAGAAACCATTCTGTAGGTAAATGTTGGAAGCACATCTAAATTCAAAGAAAGCATAGAGTGAACTTTTCTTTTGGGGAGTGGGTCTTGGGTACTGTAGGAAGTTAAAACCCAGCCCTCTACTAGAAGAATGAAATATCCTGAGAAATATTGAAAAGGCTGAATATTATATTCCCCTGATAGGAAATGGAGAAACATGTTTTTAAGTAGGAAACAGACTCACTCTTAATAGCCCCCACCTTTGTCATTGGGCATTAAAAGGCCTGAGCCAGTCTATTCTACATAACAAAGATCTCCCCCTTCAGCCCCAGGGTAATGGGATTAAGGCATGATAGTATTAGCCCTTTACCCATCACACCACAGGGCACCTGGGAAGAAGTGATGCTGAACCAAACCTGGACTCAAGACAGCCTAGAGAGTTGCCCCTACATGGCCCCATGGGACTCTGACAACCAATCAGAATACAACATCAAGATCAAAGGCCAGAAAGGGGATAAAACCAGGGACTTTCAGTGTCTCTTTTTCTTCTTCACCCAACATCTGGAAGCATGTGATCTGCCTTTTCTGTTCAGGAGCTCAAGCCATGGGATCCTGTCCACCATTAAACTATCTTTCCAAGCAGGCTCCCTGTTTCCAGTGACTTTTTCCCCCACTTGGAACTGAACCCAGAAGGACAGGTCTTCCAACAGTACTTAGAATTCTCTAATTGTTGCAGCAATTTTAAGAGAAAAAGAAATCTAAGGAGAATTTCTTCAACATAGAACAGCATGGTTGAAAGAGTCTGAAACACTCACATCTTAGAAAAGAAGGAAGGAAGGAAGGAAGGAAGGAAGGAAGGAAGGAAGGAAGGAAGGAAGGAAGGAAGGGGGGTCAACCTTGAGAATTCGGGAAATTGAAGTCCAGAAGTCTTAAAATTGCCAGGCTTAGATACCCCTTGTCTAGAATACAGAAAAGGCCCTTCAAATTTATGTTCTAAATGTGAATAACGCAAGGGAACATTTTATCATCTTTGGTGGAGATGTAAAGAACATTTTAGATAAAGCTATATATACCAATTCCAAGGATTTTAAAGATTAATATACAATTAAAGTTGGAGAGTTTTCTTTTAGGAATGATGGATATGATATGTACGAAAGGAAAAGATTTGACACAACCCACAATGGAGGAACAGTTAATGAAGATGATGAAGCTTGCAAAGTTGGCTAAATTGACTTCATTGATTAGAGGAAAAACATCTACATTTATGGCTGACAAGAAATTCCTTATAGACTTTTTTTGGGAAACAAAAAAATAAACTTACAAGTTACGATTTTGATTATTAGAAAAAAAGATAATAGAAACATACTAATCTTGTATTTCTGTACTTATAACTGTGAAGAGGCACTGAGCATATTCTGACTGATTTTTCCCCTTCTTCCTTTTAGGCAATCTGGTAGATTTTCTCAAAACTGCGGAAGGTGCTAAATTAACAATTTATAAGCTGCTAGACATGTCAGCACAGGTATGAACAAAATAATATAATGGGGTGAGAAGCAGTCAGAATGGCTGAGGAAGAGCAAACAGTAGAAATCTTTTATTGTGGGGGGATTGTTAATGGGTAAAAAAACTTATTTTTAGGGATGAAAAGAAATGGAAGAAACAGTTTCTACTGAACCTGGGAATTTAGTTGGCTGTAGCTTGAATGTCTCCAGAACAACAGTCTCACAAGATCCTTAAAAAGAGATCTAATGTAGAAAAAAGGAGAAATGTTTTGACAGTGAGAACAAATAATAAATGGAGCAGCTTGCTTACAGAACCTGGGATGCTTAATCACTGGAGGTTTCTAAGAAGAGATTGGACAGCCATTTGACTGGGATGGTATGAGGCCCCTGCCTTGAGCAGGAGATTGGGCTAGAAGCAGTGACGTGTGGTGAAGTTTATGGCTGGTGAGGCAAAAAGAAAGAAAGCGGCTCCCCCCCCCCGCAGCAGCTATGTCCGAAATAGAGGCGTCCCATGCCCCACAGCTATGCCGACCCAGCTGCGGGGCGTGCCCAATCCGGACCCTCACCACCCTTCTGGCTTTCCGCAAAGCCACTAAGACCTGGTTGTTCCGGCAGGCCTGGGGCTGATGAATTTTCAGCCCCACTTGAATGTCGCGACTGTTGTTGTATTTTAATCTGTTTGTCTTTATTTTCCTATTTGTATCCCCTTCCCTCCTTGGTTGTTAGCCGCCCTGAGTCTCTCGGGAATAGGGCAGCATACAAATTGAATAAACTACAACTACAACTACAACTAGCTGCGGGGCGTGGGGCGCCTCTATGTCAGACAGAAGCAGTGGGGCGCTTTCTTTCGGCTTTTGCCCGCCCCGCAGGGCAAACACTTCCACCTTGCAGGCGCAGGAGCTGCAGGCCACCAGGAGTACGTCCCATCCTCAGCAGAAGAGTGCCGGTTCCTGCCCAGGCTGGAGCGAGAGCCGAAGAGGCAAAAAACGAAGAGGGTGGGGGGTGTTCCAAGAGGCCCCCTCCCAGGGGTGGGTTTCGACCGGTTCGCACCGGTCCCTGCGATCCAGTTGGTCGCCGAACCCGGGAGTAAGTAACTTCCGGGAACGGTGATGCCCCCCCCGTGCCCGCGCACGCCCGCACACCCGCGCCCGCTCCTTACCCGGTTTTTATGAATTCTGCGCTTTACACGCATGCGCAGAACGCATACAGCGCCTGCGCGATCCTCCAGGAGCAGCTGGAGCATCGCACAGACGCTAGTACGCACGCGTGCGCCGCGTGCGTGCGTGAGGGCGCCGCGTGCGTGCGCGAGGGTGCCGCGTGCGTGCGCGAGGACGCCGCCGGCCTCGTTCCAACCGAACCGGTTGGAACGGGGCGAGAAACCCACCCCTGGCAGGTAGGCAGGCAGGCAATACAACTAGAACGAGCAAATTAACAACACAATTAATTAAACAATAAGGAGAATCCCACTTAATGGCAGAGAAGCAATACTACAAAATGCTAGAAACGTGTATACTAGAAACATCTAGAATACTAGAAAATACTATAATCCCTAAATAATTAAAGGAAAAGTTTGAGTTAACTTTGAACAAAGTAAATGGAAAAAATCTCTTGAATGCAGTTTTGTTTATATACGGTAGTTTCCAATAGTGTAGCATTTGCCTTGCATTTATATAACTTTTGAATATTTTATGTTTATTATCCCATTTATTTGTGCATGTATTTTTTATTAAATGTCATTCTTAATGTATATATTTTTCCTAATGATTTTCCATTTATACCTACTCACATACACATTTTCCTATTTTTTTGTTAATATTAACATTTTCAATTTTCTTTCTAAACTAATAAACCTGGGGAAACATGTTTACATAATTGATACATTGTTTTATGTATCAATTTTTTCCACAAATATATAGACATGTATGAATTTGTTATTTTTTGAAAAAGCATAATGCTTTGCTTTTTTAAAAAAAATAAATAAATGCTGAAGTTTGACCAGCATTATTTAGATTGATTTTGACAGCTCAGGACAAGGACAATAAATGTAAAGATAATTTATATTATTTGCAAGAACAGTTATATTATAATCACTATCAGTGACTAATTTANGACGAAAACGGTTAGTATATGTATGATGAGAATAACGATGTTTTAATGTTGATATGATATTATTACAAGAAAATATTCAGAAGAAAAATGGGAGAGTTTTATGACGTTTAAATGCTTAATATATTATAATACTAAACTTAGGGAAATAATGTTAGTATGAATGTGAAAGAGATGGCAAAAGAGGAACAATGTGGCACAGAGATGTTTTCAGCCCTGACAACACACTGCATAAGGAAAAGATGGGATGTTTATTTTTGTAATTGAAA